CTATTATTTTGGCCTCCTTAAACTACATCGATTTCCCTCTTAAATTACATATTCCTTAAGAAGTTTAAATTTTCTTATAATGCACACATAAAGAGGGATATTCAATATACAACATAATATTATCTTATTGTGGAGTTAATACGAGCATTTATACATTTCAAAGTGGATGCACAATGTATTTTAGTTGATTGGCAATATCAACATTAGTAGAAGATGTTGTTGTATTGGAGCCGGAAGGGAATGGGAAGATAGTATTAAAAACCTTATACAAATTGATGAATTTGTGTCGCCATGATCACTCACAACAACAATAGCTAAAGGGTGACGAAATAACCACCTAAACTTCACAAAAAATTCTTATGTATTTACTTATATATCTCACACCACCTGAACTTTCATATTTACATACATCACACTTAAATCCTTAATATCACGTAAAAAATACCATTATTTGGTGCGGGGGTTTACAACACCAAAGTGTTATGTGGGTAAATATGAATGTTTAGGTGTGAGATATGTCAATATGTACCTAAAAATTGTGTTGCATATGAAAATTTGCCTTTATTTAAACACATTAATACCTCTCATTCCTAGTTAACTTAAGTTAGTTTGGCTTCCTACTGTTTCAACTCTCCCTCCAACTTATTAGGTGGCTTGATAAAAACATGTTATAGCATTATCACTAAACCACATAAAAATTTATTTTATATTGTTTACTTATTTGAGGGCAAAATTTTTCCCTTGTTCATATACATATGAGTAATAATCAGTTAAAAATAAAAATCAATTTATAATAATATTATTATGTTTATCATTTTGATATGATAAATCTACATACTAGTAAAAATGAATTTGTGCATCATGATGTTTAATAGACATTTAAAATATAAGACATATTGTCATGTCAAATAATATATGGTATAAACTATTATTGTCATTCGATCCTTTATACTATCACATTTGAATTTTTATGTTGTAAATATAAAATTTGGTTTAAACTTTATTATTTTTAGGTTAATGTACATGATTAATGAAATTATTATTTTATTTAATGTATTATGCAAAGTCTATATAATAACATGTTAGTATTTTATAATTGCAATTCATGTGTACATACTTCATGGCTTTATTATGTTTTGCATGTAATTTTGAATCTATAAAGTTTATGATTCATTATTATTGTTTAATGATATGCATGAAAACATCATGACCTTTTATAAAACACATGATAGTTTTGATGTCTTGTATAATTTAATAAGAATATTTACTTACAATTGTGCTTCATATAATTTGTTAAGAAGTTCATTAAACCATTCATCATCAAAATATAATTTGGAACGACATGAATACTTTCTCAAGACAAAATGTTATAATTATGTAAGTGATAGTACTGTCATTGTTTTATAAACACCGTGTTTCATTTATTTCATGTATAAATTACCATGCACAATATAATGAGTAATTTTACATATTCGAAGTACTAAAATAAAGTATCATTGGCATTATTATAAATCATACATTTAAATCATAATTAATAATTTCATTAAGCTGTTACTTTTTTTTTCAAAAATGCTCATTTGCACATGTAAGTTGGTGCAATGGTGCATGGCTCATAAAAGTTTGTACAATTAATTTATATGTTTTGAAGGACATGTAATTGTTATTTAGTGAATGGTATGAAAGAAAATAAATACTCATAAACGAATATGAATGACTTTGTATAATGCATAAATGAATGAAAAGATGTAAGTATACTCATTTCATGATCTAACAAAATTGTAATTAAAATCTATAGTAAATACATGCACAATTTGATAGAATCATGACAAATCTTGCCAAAGGACAAGATATAATCTTGCATAATGTATATGTGAGTATAATTTTTTAGAAGGAAATGATCAATCATAAGAAAAAAAGTAGACATGGATTGATATGTTATTGATAAACAACAAAAAAATGGTGTTGGCTACAATAATGAAAGCCAATTATGCAACTACAATATACATGTTGATACATTCTATGAAATATATCATAAGATTTTTATTTCCTTATCTATTATGATTGGCACACAACATGCTATGAGAGCGATTGTATAATATTTATATGGTGCCATATGTTTTGTGATATATTTTAATAAATATTTAAGTTCACAAGATATGATAAATTGAAAGAATTATGTTTCACAAAGAACTAATTTATAATATTGTTATCAAATGATAGTTGGTTTATTACTGTGTATGAATCATTCATGTCATGAGAATTATACATTTTAATTATGTATTGTTAGACTACACGCCACATTATATACTTACAAGTCCTATGATTTCATGTGCAAACTTAGGTAAGAAGCATATGCATCATATAATTAAGTTTTTGAGAAAGTATCATTAATTGAGGGATGCACATTTTGGGTAATGATAAGTTCATTTACTCTTATTATATGATAAGTGGTGGTGTCAACACATTAAAAGGATTATTGAAAATTGATATGTTATGTAGGGAGTTATATTACTATATCAAACTATTGAAAATTGTTAAATATTTGTATGCAGTGTGAATAAGTTATAAATTACGACATATCTAACATTTGTGTTCAATGTTAGATTTATAAAAGCCATGTTGTCATCAAAGCATTAGATTTCTTACAAAATTTGACTTCAATGGGTATAAGATAAGAATAATTGAGGTTATATTTATAGATGTTAAGAGTAGTGCTGTCAAAAATAACTCGTTGTTCATGAACAACACATGTTAATGTTCGATTCGTTCGTTAAACAAGCAAGCTGAACAGGAATAATTTTCTTAGCTCGATTTATAAATAAGTTGAATATGAACAAATGTTTATTCGTTCGTGTTGGCTCTTTTTGACTCGAAATAATTAAATACTACTATTTTTTTGTCTTTTTGTATTAATTGTTATATGTATTAAAAAATGCTAAATTTATAAAGATTATCTGGGCGGTGTAATTATAAAATATATAGGTTTAGGCATTAAAAATGTAAATAAATAAGATTTGAGTGATATGTAGGTAAATGTCCCTAAAATAATAAATATGGGTTGAATGCATGTAAATGTCTTTTCTCTCAAAAAACTGTCTGCCGCTGCCAACTTGACTTTTCTCGTCACATATGTAAATAGATAAAATGTGGTGGAATGCATCTAAATCACATCAAAAGTAATTCCACACCCATGGCTTGCCTCCCAAATTTTTAGTCCTACATCACCCAAAGAAGGAAAAATTCCCATTAGAAATCCTATTTAATTGTAAGAAACAAAACAAAAAAGCTCAATTTACATCATCACTATTATAAGTTAGGGATAAAACATTATTTTAAAATATATTTTATTTTTGTGTTAAATGAGTTTGAATGATTATAATATACAAGTTTGAGTATAGCTCAAAATCATGTCAAACATAAGCAAATTGAAATTTGAATTGAGACAAAAATAAACTTTACTATTCACGAGCTATTTCAAACATGAACTCATTTTGAATAGTTTTTTTTCCTAAACAAGTCGAAAACGTAGACTCTAAATTCGCTTATGTTCAACTATCTTACACCCCAAATTAAGAGATTCTCCTACTTTTTATTCAATATTATATCATAACATTTCATATTATTAATAATAATTAAAACATCATATTGCGCCCTATCCCATTCATGAAGTCATTCAATGATTTTATTTTTAAGCTAATTTGATTAATCTATTGAGCTAGCATTGTGGAGTTTCTAATGAAATTTCAACTGTTACACTAAAATGCGCCTCAATTATAAGAGTCCAACATCATTTTACTTAATAAATTTCACAAACTCCTTTATTTGAGTAACTAAAGCCCTATCAGTTTTTTAACCCAAAATCATCCGCTAAACTTGTTTTCCTATATTCAAATTCTTGTAATCCTCTAATAATATTTATAATAGCACAAGCTCTCATCCATCAATATATTGTTGCTTTGGCATAACAGACTCACAGTTTTATCGCAATTGTGTAACTTCTCAGGTGATCAACCATCTAAGAAGTGCTCTCCCACAAACAAACTTAACTTCGAAGTTTATGATGAAATACAATCGTTATACTGAAATACATCTCGGTTCTTAAGCTGTTTTATATGAGATATTTTGGGAACTGATGATGGCAAATCCAACCGACGAATAAAACACACAATAATTCACGCCTCATTATGGAACAAAATAGGAAGAGTGAGAAGTACCACTGAAATTTGATGATTATGTCCACCATTTTTATATAAAAAAAGATGATTCAATGAAAGCATCAATCAACATGAATGACTCACAAAACAAAAGAATACGAAGACTAGTATATAACCTTGAAGTGAAATGTTTTTTTTGGAAGATTTACAGAAATATCACTCAATTTCTATGTATTTATATATTTAACATCTAAACTTAAATTTTACACATCAACTTATTTATGCATGAAAAAATATATTTTATTTTTGAAAAGAAAATAGTTATATTTTAGAAGTGATGTGAAAATTTTGGGGGTAGAAATATAAAAAAGCAAGATATTGATGTTAGATATGTAATTAAATAATAACAGAGTGTTATGTACATAAATGCCCTAATTTTTAAATATATTTATTAAATTATTATTTCATTATTCGTTGAATATTTTTCTATCTAGTAATTGGCGAGACCAGCCGGGGCCACCGGATCCCACGTTCCCACCGACCTTTTTATGAACATTTACAAATATATCACTCAATTCCTATCTAATTTACAAATATAGCACTCAATTCCTTTGTATTTACATATCAAGCAACTAAATTTTAATATTTATAAACATATTATTTTATTTATTCAAAATTTAATGCATTTTAAATTTAAAATTAATTTAAATGATGATAATAATAATATAATTTTAAAAAATTAAGTGGTATAAAGATAAAAAATGAAAGTTTCGGTGTTAATTGTGTAAATCCTTAAGAATTACGTGGTATGTATGTAAATGCCGTAACGGGGCTATTTCACTTCGCTCATCTGCATCCTCTTCCTCCCTGTAGTTTACTTTTTCTTCTGCTCTCGAGAGGCTGCGAGGCGAAGCTCACGAGAGAAAATGGCCCCCGAGAAGCGGGCAGCCCGTACTCCCTGGTATACCTCAGACGAAGCCAATCCCACTGAAATGGCTTCCGAAACCTCCGCAGGTATTCATTGCGCCGGCGGGGGCGATGAAGCCCCCCCGGCGACT